AAAAAAAAAAAAAAAAAAAAAAAAAAAAAAGTAGACGGCGTCTCCTACAGTTCTGCCGTCGTGCTTATTAAAGGCTGGAGGAAGCTGTGTGATTGTATTCAGCTTCCTGCGGTGCGCGGTGTTCAACATCAACCTCAGGCAGGCACTGGTGGTTTGGAACCCAGGAGAGGAATGATTTAACTTCCCAGAGTAGGACATGCCGACCTGGAGTAGGGTAGTGGTGGGACTTCAACTGCAGTTCTCCTCATTGCAGTCCCAAGGCCACCAAGGCACCACAGCTAGTCAATAAAACTGCTGCTGCATGGATGATGTACCAATCAAAGCCACTCCCTCTATTTACAACAACGTCAAGAACAATTTGTGTAAGTGGCAAATATTGGTACACATCCTAGACTAGTAGGGCTCCTCACTCCAGCCTCAAGGTTGGAGCCAGAATCAGGAGTTACATATTAGCAACTAGTATGTAGAAGCAGAGAGCCAGTCCTCTGTGTCAGAATATACTCATAAACACCAGGGAATTTGAAGAGACAGGGACTACACAAGCCACAATAGCTTAAAGTAGTATCTCCCTTCAAACAAAAAAAACCAAACCAAAAAAGACCCCACAAAAACCCAACCAAACCCAGAACAAAACGTCCCACTTCAGGGGGGGAAAAAAAAAAAAGAATCCCAGCCTTTTGTTTCACCATCCTAGTGTATTTAAGTGCTACAAAACACTAGCATGAACAGCACTACATAGGTAAAAACAACTATCTTTGTTTTACCTAAGACAGGAGTTACCATAGCAAATTAATCAGTAGCTCAGTGAAAAGGCACAGAGCCCATTATCTTTAGGGTTTTATCCATACTTTTTAAAGAGTATTTACCTTACTGGTGAAATTACATGACAAGCTCTTAATTAACATGCAGTTTCTTGAAGACGGCTCATCTTAGACAAACTTTTTCCAGCATCACAGTAAGAGCAGGTTATTTTTCACTTGCAAAAGATCATTGTAACTCAAGCTTATCAGCTATTATAGCTACAGTGCAAATAAAAGTCCAGCCCATAGCTACAGAAAGTCCACAGTGTTGGAAAACAAACAGAAAAGCAAGCCTCTGTTTAGAGTAGATTTGAGTGTGGAAATCCACGGTTTGACTGTGACAAAGGAACTGATAACATAGTTAAGACCAGTTTATCATAAGGAAGTGCATGAAGTTCTCCAAACTTTTTTTCCAGAGGAGAGACAGTTATGAAAGCACTTCTGAGACATAGACACAGAAGTGGAAATCACATCCTCACCGAATCAGAAATAAACTTGGGACAGCAAAACTAAGCTCAGCAAGACTATGACACCCTGTTCTGTATTAAGCCATGGCCCATACTGGGTATTTCCGTCAAGGACAGAGGTAGCTGTTGGCCTGGGTTAAGCTTAAGTCATCTAACAGCAACCTCTAGTGGCTCCGGGAGTTTCCTGACAGATCTGCCCTGCCTTCAGCAGAAAACAAGGGGAGGACTCAAGACAAACCCCAAAACAGCACTAAAGTCCTGTGCTGGAAAAAAAAAAAACAACCCTTGCTTCCAGGGAATCCTGGGAGGTACCAGAACAGCCAAGGGATAATCTTTACACTGTTCCTAGTCACATCACCACACTGAGCATAACACATTTGTGCAAAGGAAGCCTCGAGTTCACCTGGACATTAAAAAAAAAACCAAAAAACCAACAGGAACCCCACTGTATTGTCCTCAAGCCCATTTTAAAGGTAGTTCCTACCCAACATGTTTTTGTCTGGGCCAAGCAACAAACTCCCATTATCTGAGGGGACTTCGGTAATACCACTCAGTGGGTACCATTTTGTTAATTTGATTAATTACCCCTCCACCCACAGACTTTATGTTCCAGCACTGTCAGGGGCCTTGAACATCTCTGTAAAAGGAGTACCACCACCATTATACACAAGAGTTTATCCAACCAGCAGGATCAGAGGGATTCGGTGTTGTCCCCTTTACAATCACAGTCTTCAAAACCCTGAAATCAACTCATGCTGGATTTTGTAAGTCACACTGTAGACAAAAATATATTTTGAGTTTAAACATGAAAATACAACATTGCAGGAACTAGGTTTCGGTCCTCTTAAATCTGAGGATTTTGATAAATCTGGTTTGAGGTGTAGTGTTGATTCACATCTTCAGCAGGGGAGAAGACATGGGTTTTCTATTACAAAACACTTTTAAATGTCACCTTAATATACATTCTATTAAAAGTACATTAATTTTGCAAGTTTTTCAGCTTGAAAGAAGTGGTCAGAACAAGTGAATTACAAACAGCTAATCTGAAAGCAAAACAAACATTTCACAGACTATAGAAAGGCACCAGCACTTATAGCATGCAAAATAGCATCATTTGTTTATAATCCACACCCTCGCTCTGTTCCACACACAGTAGTACAAACTCATGTATTATTCTTAGTTGCTTTATGAGCCATGTTATGATGCTTTCTTGAAACCTTTTAAAATGGGATAGATGCTCTCAAATGCCTCATAGATTTCAGAACGTTCTTTTGCTCCTAGAAAGACATTTAGGAAAAAATGATTTAAGAATTAACTGAGTGCTGGGAATAACCAGAATGCAGCTCAATAAGATTACAAACCACAAAGAAACACAGGAGTTTAAAAGCAACTTACTATTAGTTTAAGGCAGAATTTCTATCATGCTTCTGCTGCTTCACAAAGAACAATTTGTAGCTTGCTTTAAGACTAGTCTAGTTTTGTTTAATCTGTGGAACCGAAACAGGAGTTAGCTACTCTTAACAGGTGCAAAACAATGGCTTTGGAAAAAAAAAAAAGCAATTGGAATAACCATGGTATTATCTGCCTGTTGATAAGGTAAGTAAAGAAATTAAGGGTATTTATTCCAACATGGGAAGCTGATCCACAGTTTAAGAACTCCCCTCCTCCAGTTCTGAGCAGCTTTTTTTTATTTTTAATCTTTGTTAGGGCACCTGTGATTTCAAAGCCAGCCTTTTCTATCTTGCTACAAGTCTTTAACACCAAGTCTTGTACACTGTATTGCAGTAGGCAGGAACGTTCCTTGGCAGTGACACTATGATGCTAGTGCAGCAAACTAACTACGAAAATACTGCATTTAAATGAACTAGCAGTTGGATTAAGTGCCAATTGGGATGAATGTGTAAAGCCTTTCCCTCAGACCACACTTGGATGTGTCTAATTCACCTACATTACAATTTTAAAAAGTAAAGTTATTTTCAAGTTACTGTTTTGGTAAGGTAAAAACCCCTCACAGCTCAGCAAATTCAAGTTTTGTCATTACAGTTGGGCCCAGCCTTCACAGACAAGGATTTACCTTAGTCCTTCTGGGCCCACTGCACCTGTAAGGGTGTTGCAATTACAGTACCCAAAAATGCAAGTATGATTTTACTGGACCCAGGAAGGTGGTGGTGGGACATTGGAGGGGAAAGCATTTAAGCTTTGTACTGATTGCCCTATTCTTCAGATACCTGAGGCTCCTTCATGAGTTATGGTTGTGAGAATCTCTGACTAAGGCAGGCACTTCTCTTTTGCCTTTCACGCACCTCAAAGCTGTGTTGTGAATATCTATACAGCATTTGGGTCCTCTGGGAACAAGTACCATTTACCTTTCAGTACATCTGAATAAAAAGTATTTTCATGAGCTTTACAAAAGAATGTGTTAGGAACGTGCACTCGGGAATTCAGCTTTTTTGACATGGGATTTGAGGTACAAATATCTGCTGAGCACACTTACTCAGCAAGGCTTTTACCTCACGAGTGTTTTGCCAAACAGCCTGGGACAAGTTTTTACATCTCCACCCTTTCCTCTCATAATCCCTACTAAATGTTTTTAGTGAAGTGCTTTAAGAAGTTTGCTTCCTGTCCAAGCAATTTTAAATTGCTTATTGTGATATTCCTATTTAAGTGAGTGAGTAGTTACTAGCACATAAACATCCTGCTGGAATTCTGTACACTGACACACGGCTTCATGCTTTGAATAAAATGAAGATACTCAAGGTTAGCAACATGGAAATCTGAGACACTCTTCAAAGCAATATATTTTAGTGCAACAATACTGATATTGTTATTTGCAGAAAACACAGATAAGCAGCAATAGGCAAGATATTAGTTTAACTAATGTTCAATTTAAAGACTCTCTCAGAGGATGTGGTAGCACTTGATTACAGATACACAGAGGGAGACCACTTACCCGTCAATACAACTTTTCCAGACACAAAGATAAGCAACACTATCCTTGGTTTGACCATCCTATAAATAAGGCCAGGAAATAGTTCAGGTTCATAGCTGTTTCAAAGCAAGCAGGTGAGATTAGTAAAATGCAAATACTGTTTCAGTGTAGTATGCATAAACTGATCGTTAATTATACTAACAATAGAGTAATTAAACCCACAGATTTTAGCTAGCTAACCAGAGAAAGGCAGGTCAGGTTTTAGATGTCTTCAAGAGACACCCGGTAATCCCAGCTGGAGCTGGTAGGAGTTCTTCATGCTTACTTTTAAAGACTTCTGAGCCACTTCTGAATGTTTTTCCATAGCCTTGGAACAATTATTGTAATCTTCAAACAGTACTCAAATCCTTCCTAGTTTGCAAAGAGCCCTTATCAGGAAGCATCTTGTGCAACTAAGACAAGACAACAGCCAAGTGAATCTTTAATATATATTTAGTCCCCAGATTAAATGCAAAATAAACACAGTGCTAAAGACACAGCTGAATTTTTATTTTGTCAGTGCCAAAATCTTCATCCTTCCCTCAGCAATGGTAACAACCAGTTCTGAACAAGCCAATCCTGAAGGCACAGCGTGCCCATCACTCAACTACAGGTTTACTTGAAATTGCTGGCTAGTAGACATCCAGACAAAGAACCAAAGCAATATCCCAGAAACACTATATTTTCTGTTCTGTATTTTGCAGCTGCTGTCTGGCTTCAGGTCTGAAGGTTAGAAACCTTATCCTTGCAGAGAGGCATCTGGTTTGACAGGAGTTAAGAGGCCTGCTTAGTATTAAAGGCTCACAATGAGGCAAGGGCATAGACCAGGTTCAAGTAGTTTAAGAGCTGCTCCAATTAAACCTGAAGTATTTAATCAAGACTTGTTATTTTCCTATCGATACGGTTCTGCAGTGACGAAAGATACCCACTAAGGTTTGATACTGCTCTTGGCAATAACAGAACAGTAAAATTGTTATCACCAACACTGCTCAGATTAATGAAAACGGTGCACATTGCTGACATGCAGCAACACCGAAGATTGTGTCAGCAATACTCACGGTCAAAGAAAGCTTTTTACAAAACCAGAGTCTCTTTATTAACCAACTGGGCAAAGAACCCAGGAGCTTCTTGCAGTTCCTCAGCCCTTCATCTTAACCAGATCTAACGTGCATCCAATTTACCCCAGAGTGAACACTTGTCTAGCGCACACACAGTTGCAATGTTTCTAAAGCTGGTGTTTATGGTGTCCCTGCAAGGAGAAAGCAGTGAACACCACACAGGAAGGCAATTTAGAAGAGCCCTTCAGTGCTGAATTGTGTCAGTCAGGGTTTCAAAGCACTGGAAGCTTTACTGATAGCTGTAGTACGTCATCCTGGCAATCAAGGTAAACCTTACTATCTTTATTGTAACACATGGCATCTACAGCCATTTCATGCTTGCTGAACCATGCTTACTCACTAAAAGACACGTTTGATATTCAGTATCCAGTTAATTATTACTCTCTTTTGCCACACTTGTACAGCCTCTGAATTTGAGTCTGCAGCTTACAAAGACACGGCTCCAAGTTGCATGGGGTTGTAACTCTGACTTCCACGTACCTGCTGAACTGCTGGTGAGTGAGAACCAAGCCTTCCAGCCGGATGGGGAACATCACGTCACAACTCCCAACCATATTCTGTATCTTGAAGTCCAGGAACTTGGCAGGGAACCCAAGCTTCTGCACCACACGCGCATACTTCCTGGCTGCAAGCCGTGATTGCTCTTCACTGAAGGCAGAGCAGAAGGGGAAAGCAGCTTCTATTAGTACTTTCTTCTGCTCTCAAGATGGAAGTCATTTTAGAGCCACCACCATTCTAATCTGTGCTCTGGGAAAAGGTATGCTACTGCTCAAAATAGCAAGCTTCTATCCCCAGAACCACTTCAGTGAGTTAAAAGAAACAAGGCGCTTTGTCATTCACTTTCCTGTGTTCTGTTTGAACACACTGGAGCACGTTGCACTGCCCAGGAGTTTCCCTCTTCAGAGGTTTCTTTCTCAGTTCCTTACAACAGCTTCTCAGAGCTGATCCAAGAGGTAGACTGCAGCCACCAGTACAATCATCTAGCTAGTTTGGGATGGTGGTAGGGGTTGGAGAAGATGTCTGTAAGTTAATGCGTTATCCCACTGACAGTTTAGGGACATAAAAAAACAAGGCATGATGAACTTGAGGGAAAGAGCTTCCAAGTACAAAAATAATCTTTGCTTTTCTCCAATTCCCATTTTCTCAAGAGGCAGATGTGTTGACTAGTGAACACAGACACTGAAGAGAGACTTGACAGACACAAGTTATGTCCTAACTCACTTTAAAGACAGTGAGAAATGCAAATAATCCCTTAACAATTCCTGGGCATTTTAGCAGCTTTTCTGCCAGTGTCTGCTCAGCTCAATCTATATTCAGGGACAGAAGCACACAGTTCAGTAATTACTAAACTGCCATCATGAAGAAAGCTAGACATTTTTCAATACCATTTTTTCCTTGCAATTATGACAGCCCTTTGATAGATAATTTAAACAAGGTTTCCTGTCATTTTTCATCAGAATGTAGGCATAGCTGCAAGACCAGATGTTAAAGGGAAGGAAAAATGAAACAAAACAAAAATATACCTTTTTGCTCCTGTGCAGACCATTTTTCCTGAGCTGAAGATGAGGGCTGTTGTTCGTGGTTCCCTGATTCTCATGATCACAGCGGCAAACCTCTACAAATTTGAAGGGAGACCTCACACAGTGCAGCTGAAGGATTTAGCTGGTACTGTATTTCTGTTCATATTTTGTAGAATTGTCACTTTCAATGCTCAACACAGCATGCATCTACGTTGTAAAATTTATTTGATCACCCTGAAGTTACTTCCCATCCCTCTAGGAACAGGGGGCTTAAGACAGCAGTCACAGGACCACTGCCTTGTCCCTTACATTTTGTTGTGCAGTCTGGAGTCACTTACAGAAAGTTCATTATTCCCATCCCATTATTTCTACTGTCTAGGCCACTTGCTGTAAGTATCATGTAATACTAGTTTGACTCCAGTAAAGAGTTTAAGGACAGGTCTTTCCTCCCCCCACTGAGGGCTGCTTGAGCCATTTCAGCTGGGGGTAGATGGACACAGGTGGGAGGGTTAATCCATCTCCTTTAAATAGTTTAGTAACATCTCATTGCTGGGGCTTTTTTCAAAGAAAAAAAAAGATCTCCTTGTGGTCTCCTGTATTTCTTTTCATTTCACAGGCCCAAGTTGCAGGTTTTTATGACTTTCTCTTGTGGATCAAGACAGTGCTATTTAGAAAAAGTACAAAGCTCATGGTGAATTTGTATATTAGAAACTATCAGCACTGAGAAAGGGAACAGAGGGTAAAGCTTTGGGTCCTTAACATTTACCTTTGGGTTATACTCTGCATTTCTGGCACGCAGAGCTATGTTCTTCAGATCTAGTTTACAAGCCAAGTTTACAGTTGACACTATATTCCTGAGGAATGAGAGGAATTTTAGTGCAAAACCAAACCACTGCAGAGGCAATCCACAACATTATTAGCTTAATGTGAAGTCACACTCCAATTAATAATTGCCATCAAATTATTTCCTGCCTACCTATTTCCCACTCTAGCATTAAGCTACTTTTGGCAAAACTTAAGTAATTCAATACCAAAATTACAGTTTCTGAGCTATAACAAGGTATGAAAGTATTAGTCCCCGGATACTAAGTTTGTGTGTCTTTCAATAACTATATCACTGAAGTGTTATAGCTTTGAATTGAACCATTACTGAGTGTTTAGAGTTACTACAGCACTCAAGGTAGGAAAGGATATGTTTTTCTCTACAGGTATAAGCTAATCCACACTGGACAGGACCTTTTAATGAGGCCAGAATTTCTCACACTTCTTTTCATGCCCCTTTCCCTTGCTCAGTTCAGACTGTTTCTGCTCTCAGAAAAGCAGACTGACATCTTTAAGCCACTGGAGTCTGCTGTCATCCTTAATATTCTCCTTGCTGGAAGAAATCTTCCTTTTCAAGTATTTTTGTCTTTTCCTCCTGCAGACTGAAGTAACTAACAGTATATACTAGATATAAATAATTTCTACTAAAGACTTTTGCCCTCTTTCTCCCAGAAGAGACTTTTCCCTCTTCACAAACCAGAGGCATTTCAGATACTCACTCAGCATGTTTATCAAGTCCACTCTTCCCTGTTTTGCTAAGCTGCATATTGTTCTGTGCCATTTCCATTCTCATACTGTGCCCATCAGTACAGTATCCAGTTATCTTCTAATACTGTCAGTTCACTTGCTCCATATCTCCTCAGAGGAATAACCATCCCCCTAGTATTTTGAGGGGGCTTATTTAAGACCAAACCACACTTGCTACTTTCTCTAAGTCAGAGCAGTATGTTGCAGTTTAAGCTAAACTATGACTATTACATATGCCAGATATATAATAATACATAAACTTACTGTAACTGGGGAACTATGCCAGAGCTTTCTGATGCAGGTGTCACTGGGGTCATCGGAGCTATGGGTGTCAGAGGAGGACACCCACCAGATGCTTCAGGAGTTGCTTGAGTTGCATCTGGATAGGCCAAGATGCTTTCATCTGTGAGGATACTGCTGTCCTCATTTGATGTTGACCCATCAAGCTCTTTTTGCATTTCATGACCATCTTCAAATAGATTTTGTGCTTTGTTTTCTTGGGTAATATCTGGAAGAAAGCTGAGATCCACAGAGGAGAAGTCTGTAGGAAGCTCTTTGGGCTGATTAAATTGAGATCCGAACAACACATCTTCAGTTGTTTGAATTGGAAAGTCTACATCATAAGGGCTCATGGGAGTAAACAGCTGAGGACTAGTTGAGATGTCATCCTTGAATTAAAAAAAAAAAAAAAAGTACCATTAAGAACCTTGTATTAAAACATTTACTTTAGTTGGGAGACTAAATTAAGATTAATTTTTGCCCATACATATTGTATCAAAGAAGAATCTTAAGATTTGAAGTGTGTCTGGATTTTTATATGCTGCTAGACAAGCAGACTTCTATAGCAGAGATACATTTTCCTGCCACACTTCAAAGGCAGTCTAGAGTACTCCTGTACCACCACAAACTGAGAATCACTCTGTACCTGCAGCAGCGACTGGAGGTACAGTGCTGGCACTGTGCCCTTCACAGCCGTTGTTGTGCCTCAGTTATGCACAAAACCTACATAATTGCTCACGAGTTTTCCCAAGGAAGACAGCTGGCATTTTCTGGCTGGCTTCAACTCCCATTCAGTATATTACTATTTCCTCTCCGTGCTACCAGGGGACAGTGTTGCGTTGGATTTGTGCAACAGAGGGCAGCAGCTCACAGAATCACGAGCAGTTTATTCTTTCAGCTGCTGGAGGTCACCAGACTAATTTAAGTGCAGACACAGTCAGCAAAGCCAGCATCCTTTCCCAGATCAAGCATATAACATATCTGCAAGTGAGTTCTTGCATACTAATGCCCTCCTTTATCAGCTGTTTATTATTGAAAGCTATTTAAAAGGCATCATAATATTGAGGAGGCAAGAGTTTAGGAAAGGATTTATTCCCTTCTCCATTAGGGCATGAGCCTTTAGTTAGTGGAAGGCTTCTTCCAAGAAGGTGGTTTCTGCCAATACCCACAGCAGGTGACAGCTTGGACTAGATGATCCATACAAGAGGTTTTGTGTTCATTTAGGCTTTTTTGGGCTTGAGAGCCAAAAGGACTTGAAAAGTCCAAGCACAAATCAGAAGGAACAGTGCACAAGACAGAGGCCCTCGAGTTGGCAGCAACTGCCCGAGCTCCAGCAGGAACAGGGTTTCCAGATCAATGCTTTTCAGCCCTGAGCTAGTGCTGCTCTATGTGCTGTGCTAATCAGCTCGCTTAGCAACGCAACCATGCACATGGGGAGATCTCTGCGCCTACTTTGCAGTATATTTGCCTGTAGACACTTGGAAAATTCTTATTAAGTGCAAATCCTCCCAGAAAACCCTTACTAGCTTGAATACAGGTGTAATCAGGTCGAGCTCTGAAAGCATCATGAACACCTAGGTTCAAAACTGTCTCTAAAACCAAGCCCCATATGAGATCAGTTAGGGTGAGTGCTACTGAGTAAGACTAGGTACTCCTCAACCCCTCAGCTATTTGGGAAACTGGATCCAAGAGCACTGAGAATTAAGAGGTCAGATATCAATAACAATATACTGTGGAATAACTAAAATTTGTTTTAAATAGATATTTTTCATGTTTGCCAGAGGGGAAGGAAGGCACAGTCTCTGCAAGACCTCCAGTGGACTGAGGCTTATCTATACAGGAGCTAATTAGGAAAGTTTTGTATGGACTGCGATGCAGAGGAAGCGGTACAAAAAAAGCCTCATCACTGCAAGCCTGGAGCACTACTCACACATCATACTAAGTGGCATCAGAGAATGTGATAAATGTAACAGTCCAAAAAAACACCCCACAGTTTGTGGTATAGCTTAAAGAAAAGGAGCTGACGGAGAAAGGAGTGGTGTGTGAGGCTGGAAGTATTGAACAGCTGTAAAACAAGTTTAAAAAAAGTAAAATGCATAGAGTAGGTAGAAACAAAGAAAATCTTCCTTTCTCAGCAGGTTTCCGTATAACTGGTCTGGGAAAAAGCCCTTATAGGGTTAAGTGCTGGGGAGGATTGCTTTCTTGTTAGACAGATGCTCAGAGGCTGTGAAAGGGGGCACAAGACCATGTTTATATTGGGCTGGCTGCCAAGGGTTATTGCTATAGACTCTAGGTTAATTAACTTCACTTGAAGGCCCCATCAAGTGCATAGCTTTGGACATCTCCCAGCAGCTCCAGGAAGGAGATTTCACACATAGATCCTGTCTGAGATCACTAAGTTTGGGGCAGCTTGAGGGGGAAAGAACCATTTTCACTTCCACTGCAGGAATCTCTGCAACCTAGGTACACATAAATCACATCCAGCTGCTTTAAACAACAGCCTTGAATAGGTTTCATTTTTTTCATCTGCAATGATATCTCACACATCTGCTATTATCAAGTATCCCAGCAAGTCTGAAATACAAAAAGCTCAGTAACATTTGTAAAACCCCTGGTTATACCTCCCTACTTTACAGTGCTATATTCAGAGGGCTTTACTGACTGCTACTAGGAGGTCTCTGCATTTAAACAGCCTGTGTTAAAGCCCTTTTCTGAGCTGAAAAGTAGTTTACAACAGAATGCAAATAAAGAAGTTGTGTTCCCTGGGTGAAGATGATGCTCAGCTGTGGAGTCCTCTCCTAGTCTTTCACCCTGTTACCTCTGCAGCCACCTCACAGCTATTCCAAATACCAAAAAAAAAAAAAAAAAATTTCACAAACATTTATCAACCAGCACACAGGTTGGTCCTTGCAAGCATCACCCCCCAGCAAGAGTTTAAACGCAGCATCATTTTTCTTACAGCAGATGAGTGACACACGCACCACCCCCATCAGAGAGCCCCCCAAAGGGCTTGTCTATGCTCCCAGCAGCTCTAGACGGTTGTAGCTCGCTGCTCCCCGATGCAAGGTTGGACTAACGGTGGCGGCTAGGCTGGCGCAGGCCAAGGAGGAGCCCCGCAGGGCAGCCGGGCCCGGCTGAGCCCGGCCCAGGCAGAGCGGAGGGATTAAGCCTCAGTTGAGATGCGGCCGTAGCAGCTTTCGGCGCAGCGTTGGTGGTATAGTGGTGAGCATAGCTGCCTTCCAAGCAGTTGACCCGGGTTCGATTCCCGGCCAACGCAGCTTATTTATTCCTATTTTCATATTTTTTTCCTCCCCTACTTACCTGCCCGTCGCAGCGCTCCAGGTACTGCTCTAGCAGCGAGCTGCCGTCCATGGGCACAGCCACCCGTCCGGACCCCCCAACACCACCCCCGGACCCAGCTTTAAGCCCGAGGGATGGCACTGGGGGCAGGGAGAGGCACAGCGCAGCTGGTTTTAAATACACAGTCCCTCCCGGCTCTGATTTTTTCACCCCCATCAAGCAGCCTTTGAGCCTTTCACCTGCCCTTGACAGGGCTGCCCGCAAGGGCTTGCTCCATCGGGTGGAAGGGCTAAAAAATCTGGGTGCTTTCATGTGCTTTATATAAGCTTACAAAAACAACCTCCTCTTGAGCCTGATCCCCTCTGCAGGGCTGAAGATAAATGGGGGTCAGAGCTGCAGCTTAGATTTTACAACGATAGCGTTTTGCTTGTAGCTGATGCTTTTCAGTGACCAAGTGTAATACGCCCTTAATTTCTCCCACCTGCCTCATCAACTGCAATAAGGCACACCTGGTCCTTTGAGAGGAGCCCCAGTCTAAAATCATAAACCTGAAACTCAAGGCATTGTAATGAAATGGCCTATCCTCACCTGGGCTAGCCTTGCTAAGGCTGCTTAGGGGGAGGAAGCCGTTACTCCTTACCTTCGCTGCTGTCCTCCCCTTGCTGCTATTTTCCCCACCTGTGTCTCTGTTTCTGTCCCCTGTGAGTGATGGTTGAAGGCCATTTCCTTTTCAGAAGACTCACGTGTGGAGAGTCTGGGCATGAGGCAGCATGTTCCCAGAAGGGAGTTTGCGTTGTGCCTTACTGATTGATGCTGCGGGAGTCTCACACTGCCGACACAGCTCAGCTTGGGTGCTGCTTGACTCGACGCCAGCAGTTGCTGTCTAACTTGTTCTTGCTCTCCTGTCCTGTCGCTGCGTGGTGATGGATGGATGGGTTTCTGTGAACACACAGCTGGGGACACATCCCTGTCTCTGTCTGGGCTGGTGGATGCACTGACTGCCATGATCAATGCTCTGCTAGACAGGCCTTTCAGTTCTGCTGTGAGATTTGCTTGTAATCAGCTAGCTGAGCTGAAGAAACCCTGTGGAAGAAAATGTCAAAGGCCAGGCACAATCCAGGTCTTTGGGAGGTGCTGCTAGGCTCTTCTCACTGCCTCAGAGGTGTGAAGGATATTAGATTTCTATCCTTTGTCCGTGGGGCAGAGTGTACGTGGCTGAGGAGCATCCTTCCCTCCTCAACACAGCCTGCTGGGCTGGTTTCATGGTATTTCTGGGACTCACCTTGCCCCACAGGTGCCAAATCCCCCTGGCCCCAGAAAAATCCAGCCTCAAGCAGGTTGATTTACATCACACAGCCCATCCCTGAGCACCCAGGAGGCAAGCTGAGCAGCAGAGCAAGTAGAGAGAGGACTCTCTTCGAGATTGCACATTGAATTACAGAGGCTGGTGGAGCTAGCTCAGACCAGTTCAGGATGGTTAGAACTAAACCATCCCATTTAGTGCTGGCAGGTGCCTGGGGTGGTGGCAGACAGCTCCATGGCCTCAGCTGCTTTTGCCAGCACAATGGGATGGGGTATGGAGGGTGGGAGATCCTGCTCCTACCAGCAGCAGCAAGCCCAGCCCTCACAGGCTCCTTCATGACAGTGTGGGCCTGCATTGCCCACAGGAGAGATTGAATTCAACACAGGGATCATGCTGAATTTGTTTTGTCCTCACATTGACATCTCACGGGGACAGGAGGTTGGCGCTCCCCCACTGTGTGAACACTACTGATGTGCTGAAGTTGGGAAGCTGGAGTGTTTCCCTGGTGTGGTCCTGTCTGTAGCGTTGCAGCTTAGTGCTTTGAGTTTCCTCAACTAATTAATCCTTTGTTGCACTACAGAATCCCCTGGAGATGAGCTATGTTCATTCTGCAGCTCCCAGGGACTGGTTTGTCTGCATTTTGTGAACCTGAGATGGAGAGGTCAAACTGTGGTGTTTAAGTGAGAGAGGCTACATCAGAGATGAACATAAATTACAAATCCCTTAATACTGGTGTTGCTTCTTGCCTTGGATGGCATCCTGCAAGTGGCGTGGGCACCAGTGGGCAGCGATGTGATTTTGGTTAAGTCCTGTTTGGTGCCTCTTCTGTTAAATGGGTATAAAATTGTTCACTCGTTGTGAGGTGGAGAAGAAAGGAAGATGTTTAAAAAGCTGAGAGATCATCAGAGGAATTAAGAGTCACATTGTGTGGGTGATTCAAGCTCTGAGGATTGCTTTGATGGAGGGGAAGAATTTTCTGGATGCTGCCCAAGGGAGGGAAGGCATGGCTGTGACTTGGGAGGGCTCTGTGCTCACATCCTCCTCCTCAAGGCTGGGCATTCACTTGTGGTGCCCAGCGTGTGGGAGGCACAGCGAGTGGGATGCTCAGTGATGGGGAGCCCTACTGACTGGAGGCCCAGGTAATGGGAAGTCCGGAGAGTGATGATCCAGCGAGCGGGAGTCCCTGGGCTTCCCCCTCCCTGACTCTTCCAGTCTCTGGGTCTCCCCTTCTTAGTCATCAGAGGCATTATCCTCTCTCTGCTGCGAGGTAGTGTTCTTCCTTCTTCAGCAGGACATCTGACCCTGTCATCAGTTGGACAGATGTTAATTTAAAATGTATTAATAGGAACTCATGAGACTTACCTGCTCGGTTTCTGATCATCCAGGTCAAATAACATTAGAAAGGGCAACTATTCTTCCAATCCCAACCTAAAAAAGATTATTTCTGTCTCAAGCTGCCTTCTTTTTTTTTCCCCTTTTTTTTTTTTTTTTTTTTTTCATTTTTTTATTCCCTTTGGAAAGCAGCAGCTGCCCAGAGCCAGGCCAGAGTGACTCATGAGCAGGACTGCTCAGAGCAGGGAGGGAGCCACGCACCCTCCTGCACGCTGGAGGCAGCCATTACGCACATCCCCGAGCGGCAGGAGCCAGTTACGGGGTGATGAATCATCTGAAGTGCACAGTTACTGTAATGATGAATTGTCATGAGTCTTAATTAGCAAATTGGTTAATTTTACTTAGAAAGTTGATGATTAGTACACAATAAGTGCTTTGTGCATTCTTTGTAAGAGTCATTCAATATCGTTCTTCCTTGGATAACTTAATTGGAGAAGATTTCCACAGAGCTTCTACTAGCATTCCTGTATCGGTCTCTTAAACATTTCTGTAGCAGATATTCCTGCATTACCTGGATGCTGTAATCTGGTTATGGAATGGGACTAATCACAGGAGACTTCCAAAAACCTGGAAGGGACAAGGAGCAAGTCAGTAAGGAAGCTCTGCCTGTTTTATTCATTAGTGCTCTCAATAGCTGCCTTCTATTCTAGCATGCCGTAAATACCTTGCTGCTTGCTTTGAAGTTGGTTAATCTGGTTTGGCTTTATCTTATCTTTTTCAGAAGGCCATTTGAGAATTAAAAGCTCATGACTGACAACGTTCTGCTTTCTGCCCTCCTGAGCTTTATGCTAAACTTTTATAGCTGTAATTGTCTCAGAAGAGTGTAGCTTGTCTTAGGTTTAGCTTGCATCTCCTGGTGCCCTCGCTGCCTGCAGCGTTAGAACCCTGCCCTTGGAGGAGGTAGAAGAACAACTGAGAGCAGGATTGTGTTCCAAAAGAGCAATATATTATGCACAAAATTCCTCTGAATGTGGCACCTTCTGATTACCCCAGGACTCTACGCTTATCTACCAACAGCAGAATCCAAGTCTTGGTGATTCTTTCTGTTTGGTTTAGCCCTGTTTTGGTTCCTGTGTCTTGATTCCTTTCTTTCCAGGGATGTAAACAGAGTGAGGTGCTGAGGAGGACCACAAAGAGGGATCAGAGAGAGGAGCAGGTGAGCTGCAGCGAGGTTGGCGGGCTCTGTGGGAGTGAGGGACCTGCATGGAGCTGGCAAGGCTCTCGAGAAGCAGCTGCAGCCCAAAAGGCAACTCAGGGTAGATGCTGAGTGCCTTTGGTCTGACAAGTGTGACCATTGCTCTCTTATACTTATTTGTCCTGTAATACTCCATTCTAGACCAAATCAATGCTTGTCAGTATCAGTAGATACTGGATTTATTGCCAGGGAAGGAAAGAAGCCACCATGACTATTCACTGAGTAATAGTGCTTAATTTGACTTTTAATTGTGAATTATTAAGTGTATCATCATAAGGTTATGCTGGTGTAAATACGAACAGAATCAGATCCATTAGATTTGATATTTAGTTCTAACCTGCCCCTGTGTAAATCAGGAGTACCCCTCTTAACAGGAGTGAGGTTACAATAGTTTGAAATTGGGTCAGAATCTTGTATAATTTTCCAGGTTTACTGGGTGATGGGAAGAAGGGCTATAACTTCTCATTTACCCCCTAGCGCCAAGTGTCCCTCCCCATATTGGATGATGTAGCCCAAGTCACACAGTGGTAGGGCTGCCTCTTTGTCCCAGTTAAACTGGGGCTCTCTTATTCCCTGAAAAGGACAATACTGGGGGATTTGGTACTCTTTGCAAACATTAGTGGGCTCTCAGCATTTGTCTGCTAATGCATGCGCCTTCCATGCTTGCTGGCAGAGACCAGCATCGGTCAATGCTCAGCATGCATTGACTTCTGGACCAGGAAAGAGAGTCACTTCTGTTAGATAGAAAAGGGGTAAACTGGCTAGAAAAGAGCTTTTTTTTTTTTTTTTCTGGCTTATACAGCACTATTATGTGTAATGAAGACACTAACTGCCCCCATGTCAGAGAATTGCTGAGAACCAGACCCAGAGAAGATTGCCAAATCCTCCACTGAATGCCAGAGGAAGCACTGTAAGTAAAAACCATCTGTCTCAACTGAAAGGCTGAATGGTGACTTTAAAACTATACAGTTAATTTCATTTAATTTCCCTATCTGTGCAAAGCAACAAAGTGATTAAACGAAAGCATTCTGTATGTTGTTTGCATAGAAATCCACTTGTCTTGGCCCAGCCGTGCTCTTAAGCCTTGTACTGCGGTGTGGGGGAGAGCACATTGGTCTATTTTTATTTTTCATTCAGTGTTGCATTTAAAATATGGCCAGAAAAGGGGGAGGCGGGGGGGCTTTAAACATTGGCTGCCACCTTAATTGCAACCTAGCAATTAATGGCTACAGGC